GTCAGGGCGCGACTGACAAACTGCAGAGGCATATCATCAAGATTTTAGTGGCTAGCCACTAGCCACAAAACCAGAACTCTGTCGTCAGACGTACTCGTGGATATTTGCCTCACAGAAGGGAAGAAGATCAAAGCTTGATCTTCTCTGCGTGTGCGAGAGCCCTCGATCCGCCGAACCTGAAACAACGGTGATCGAACATTTTTTGGAAAGTGCGCGAAATCTGGGCAAGAACAGGCGGTGTATGATTAGAAAAGGTAAAGAAAAGGTCTATGCTGCTCGCTGCTCGTAGTCAGTTGCGATCTCATGACACTGTTTTAGTAGCAAGTACCAAGCCTACCTCCACACTTTGACATAGGCGTTGCTGTCTGCATCTTTAAGTTTACCCTGTGGCTTTTATGTAAACTGAGGCTTAGGCAGTAACACGCTAAACGCCATAAGTTATCAATCTGAATTAAAAAGCAAATTAATTTTCGTCTATTGTCGGATTATCACTCTGACGATAATATATACACGGAAACAGGAGCAGGTGAAATGGATGGTTATTGTTGAGGGGAGTCTCGATGATGAAACGTTGGTAGCTTTCGGCATGAATCGTGCTAGCTCGTTCGCGAGTTTCGCGAACCATTATATTCATCGAAAATGCTTAACTCATCCAAGACCAGGTATTCATCCACCTCATATTCCAGAATGGTTTGGTGTACTAACAAAACTAAACATTCTATCTTCGTTTAGAGGGCAGTGGCGCGATTCGTTACCAGGTTGCTTTGCACGTAACAATTCTGAGTTCAAACGCAATTCGCAGAGTGAATTTTCTCTAAATATTATTTCCTTTGAGCACCCCTTCAGAGAATTCACCTCATCGGTGCAATTAGCCGAAAAGCGGGTATTCGTTCGATGGTCTGGTAATAATTGGGACGGTGTTTTGGTGAGGCCATGCCAAAGCGCGCGAGACATTCGGCCATGCTGTCTGATGCGTCCGCCTTGCGGTCTACAATTCGCCATGATCCGCCTGATAATTGATTAAAATCAGCACGAGGTGTAAATATAAAATTAAATTTAATTCAGATCTTTAGAGCGACTTACATTTGCCTTGTTTTCGCTTTGCGGTAAGCCATTCAGCACGGTTACTGATACTGTAAGGCTAGATCTGTTACCTATCTTGAATGGAAACAGGAGTCAGAAACGTGTTCACTTCGCCATCGCGCTGAACGAAACGTTTGTTTCTGTTTGGCGTTAAATTTTGAGAAGCGCATACTCGGAGTGGATGTGTATTCATTAATTTGTTATCCAGCGAAATTGTTCAACAGTAGCTCCATTGGTTGCATTAACTCTGAAATCTTTGAAATGGACCACGGACCACGGAGTTTAGAGATGACGGGGGAATGGGTGATGACGAATTCGTGATCGAAGGTTTATAAACGTCGTACACCGTTAAGCCTCTGATACGGATTCCAGTCCCATAATTCATATTGCTGTCAGGCAG